GAGTTCTTTCCATACAGAGTCTGACAAAAACACCATTGACCTGCCCAACACAATGGATGACTCGTCCCATCCAGAGATTGTAGCAAACGTCTCGACTTTTTGAGCATCGCTACGCGATGGTTCCAAGTTCAAAGGTGCTAGGATATACTCGTAACGTGCCAAAAAGTCCTCAAAAGTATAATGAGCAGTATACGATCTCTTTAAACGAGCGGTGATATCGGGAATTAAAAAGCTTCTGACTTGGGCTTTGACTTTTTTTGCGTCATAGTGATCTGGTTCTTGTGAATCGTTGGGGCGGATTTGGAAGACATTCCATAAACGAGTTTCGCCGAACGTCTCTAAAAGTTGGTTCAGCGTTTGATACAGCTGCGTAGTAACTGTGCCGACACCAGATTGTTTTTTCGAGCTGCCGTCGTCTATTTTTTCCGATTCGCCTTCTGTCTTTTTCTTTAGCCTCTTCATGCTTGGAGATCTCATTGGTTTGGTTTGCAGTTGAGCCATGACGACCGTTTTGTCCGATCTCGGGTGATTTTCGATAGATAGTGCTGGTCCGGAGAACAGTTTGCTGATAAATGGGTTGGTCGTATCTCTGAATAAGTTGACAAAGTCGGGCGATAAGTTGTCAAGATTCTTATCGACGAATTGGTCGACAGAATATGTTACTTGTCCTGCAAAATGACTGATTCCAAACGCGCCTGATTTAGACGAAAACTTGGATGTGGATGGTTTGGCTACGTATGATGGGTGGGAAGTGTATGTCTTTTGGAAAGCGGCGAGTAATTGGCTGTCGGTGACTGTTTCTTTGCCACTCTGCACTTTGGCACATTCTTGATCCAAAAGGCCAATTAGTCCACCTGGTTTCTTTGACGATTTAGGAGAATCTCCCCTAAGTAATTTTACACATTCTTTATTGTCCATAGTCATCACCCTTCTAATCGCGACACCATCATTTTTTAGTTCAGCATTTTCTCCGTATAAATCATCAAAAATGTTCTTTAATACGTAGTTTTCGACTTCTTCTGTAGCAAAGTTGGCAGTAAACTGTTCGAATGCATTGCTCGTAAAGTTTTGGTATCCCGGCTGATCCAACAGTCCGATAAAGTTTGGTGGTTCGTCTGACTGGATCAACTTGGAATTGATATGCTCTACTATCCATGTAAACAAGATAGAATACAGTACTCTGGCGAGTCCGTCTCTCTGTTCGGTGGCAGCCTCGGCATTCAGAAATACAGTACACAGTTCTTTCCTGATGAATTTTGTCTTGTACGTCAGTGTTGACTGCAACTTGGCAGGCGCCACTCCCAAGAGTCCAGCAGCCGACTCTAAAACGTGGTGGTTTTTTATAGCTGCAGCTTCGTCTTTTGCATTCTTTCCGGGGTCGACGAATTCGATGTTGCCTAATAATAATATACCGGTGAGTAATTGCCAGATCCGGGATATTGTTCTAGGTTTGAACTTTAATGTTCTTAATGCATCACGGAGCTCGTCCATCTTGATGGCATCGCTGACATCACTGATTTTATAGCATTTCGATTGAGACAGATAATGATAAGAAGATGGATCTTGTAAACGTAGCTGAGATTTCTCTTCGCTTGTGGCTCCGGCCAGTAAATAGTAGAACGCATGATAACTTCTTTCGTCTTGTGGGACAGATGTGACGCGTGCTTTATCGAATCCGTATGTTAGAAACTTTGTTCCGATGATGCGACCTCGCTCGTTGAATTGCAGCTCGGTGTATTTTCCATATCGTGATGCGTTATTGTTTTGCACTGTTTTTGCATTGCCAAATGCTTCGAGAATTATCTGTGCACTTTCAATTTGATAGGACATTTTTGATTCTTTCTTTGTGTGTGTGGAGAGGAGGAGAAGTTGCTGGACGAGATGATTGTGGCTCGCTGATTTTCCTGATCCTGTGATTCCGCTGGGTTAAAATTGGGGAGAGTATATGGTTTAGTTCAAGTTTTCGAGTAAATTAATTATGGAGATAGTAATTGGGACGAGGAAATAGTTATCAGGCAGGCATTCGTATAAAATATTAGGTTACATTAGGTAGATAACTTAGTATTTACAAGTGCCCTTCCCATCAATAGTACTATGATAATACAATTCTATGCAAGTCTTAGTGTTTAAGATTAGTTGCTATGTAGTCTTACTATTATATTTAATTCATACCTGAAAATGACACTCTGGTCTTCGGCAGATCTCCTCATATGCAAGTATATTCTCGCGGCCAATTCATAAATGTGAGGCTGGAGACTAATCTTATTGCCACTAGTATCCTTGTACCATTGTTCAGCATATTCTTTCGCTTTAATATCGTTCATACATTCTAATGGTTTGTAAGGATTAACGGTAACCAAGCACGAAGCACTAATACGCGTATAAGGGCAATCGGCTTTATATCTAGCAGATAATAGTTGGACAACTTCTTCATCTGAAGTGCTCGCATTTGCAGAAGCAAGCAATTGAGTAAGGTCGACTCTATCATCGGTTGGGATTCCCGAGGGAGGTCGATTTGAGGTGCGTGACTTTTTCTTTGCCATTTTGTATATAGAGTTTGGTGATGTATAATATTAATACTGTCTAGGTATTTTATTTTATTTTATTTTTACTAAATGCTCAGTGTATTCGCTGAGTATTTAGTTGTGTTTATTAATATAGTGAAATGTAATCCTGTAGTAGCATTTATTAAAGATTATGTGTTGTCTGCTCGTCAGCAACACGAAAAGCTGTTGCCAAAGGAAGACTGCAAAAGTTATAAAGGGAGCAGAGGTCAGCAAAGAAAGTGGAGCAGGGGATGTGTTACTGTATAAGTAGTGGGGGTTACAATGACGGGGAATATAAGAGGGGATAATTGAGTGTTGAAATTCTGATACTAAAAATACACTTTGACCAATGGTGGTTGCAGAATGGCTCTATTTGTGGATGTGTATAAATGTGGGATGAGCGTAAATGAAGATGGGTTAGTAGAGAAACGATTATAAATAGTATAAAAAAAGCAGATTGTAATCAATCAAATTGCAGCAACTAAATTAAGAAGGAACAGAAGCGGATACCGAGGAGTGATGATGTACTGTACATGTAGGCTGTGTGCAGAATGTACAAATAGGTGATTCTCTCACATTAATTGAGAACGAGCAATTCTCGCTTCCTTAAGTTTGGAGATCGCAGTCTTTTCTGTCGCAATTCTCATTCCCTCGCTTGAAACAATGAAATCGTGCGACAGCTAAAACAAACAGTTTATTGTCTAATTCTATATATACATTTGTTATGCTTGCGCTTTATACTTTACGGGTAGTAATATTACTCTATCTCTTCTAGTCTGTTTCGATGTTATTTATATTAAGAACTTTTAGCCGTTCCCACATCAACGGTTCAGGAACCCATGCTCGATATAGTAAGCGTCTCCGAAGGGCAATCTTCTTTATCAATCGCCGTACTAATAGTATTGCATGCTAACCCGGGGCACATGTATATCCATGTGACCAATCAGATGTGATTAATCCAATGAAGATAAATTATTGTACCTGTAATTTTCATTAATATTTGTAACAAGATTCTTAAATTACGAGGATGAAAATATATGTGCGTGGCATAATGTTGTTTTTGTAAAAACCGCTCGTGGACTCAAAAGAATACTGTCAATCAGAATTCGAATTTTACACTCTGGACTCCCAGTTCTGTTGGGAAAAAATTGCAATCGTAACGAGCTATCTTGCTGATTGGTGGAAGCATCGGGTGATCCAAATTTTATACTAAATTAGCGATAATCAAGGATAGTAATAGTAATAGGGTTTGAAGATATAGTTTGGTGGCACAGCCATGACTTTAAGCCTTGCCAAGACAAATATGTTCGAGATGAAGGATCTGTCTTACTTGATACATCTAATATACGTATTATATATATACGCTTGGATGTTCGATCACGAAAAGTTAGCCGATCATCACTCATAAGCGTAATGTTTATAAAATAGTTCGCTCGTTCGTTTCACGCATAAACCTCAACAATGCAGGTAATTAATTTAGAAAACGCGAATCATCAAAACCTAACATGCAACACCAATATGCTGTGTTAGCAATAATGGGTAATTTATAAGAGATTACACAAATCGACTGTAGTGCAATGTTTCACTTCGATACTGAAAACTTCGAGATCCATGTTACACGAGACGTCAACTTACAAGATGGCAAAATCTATAAATAGTCTGGCGTTGTCCTGGACGATAAGGAACTTAAAAAGGAAAAGGTAAAAGACAGCAGCACAAAGAAACAGGTAAACATAATAGATTTCATTTAAATTGAGTTGTTTCTTTTGCCCTGTCTGTTGGCCGCACTCCCATTTTTGTTGATATGAACAAGCTATGCTTTATCTATTAATGACGTCATAATGTCCCATTTGTAAAAGAGCACAAGACATTCCGGGACCCGATGATCAACTTTCGATATATCACGCGATAATTTACAGTTTACAAAAAAATGAATGTCAATTGTAAACTTGTCTTTTTGTGAGCTTTGTTGTTCATGACTATAGAATCCCGACAATATTGAAACATTATACGTTTGTATTGTTTGGTGTTTATTAATAGCTCGATTGATTTTAATGCCATGTACTATGCAAATACAATCGCTTTGATGTAAAGTTTAATAAATAAACCGATGATGCAAATTTTGTTTTTCAATAAAAATATCGTCAGTTCTGTGCTTCTTCAATTTTAATACTGCGCCCCTTTGTGATAACTACGTCATTCCTTCTCCTGTAGCTCGTGTGATTGAAATGTATTCAAGTTTATGATCGTGTTTGTTTAACTGGTTGCATAAACTTAATCCCTTAACAGCTAAAGGGCGCTGTAATTGTCTCGACGGCAATTCGATATACCAATTTTGTCAATTTCGTTTTGTTTGTTGTATGAATATATTTACAATGGCAAGTCACGTGTCATTATCCACATGACATTATATTATTAATAGAACAATCGCAGTTCGTTAGTGACAAGACAAACATGTCTGCTCCAGTTCTATTGAAAAATAGAACTTTTAGAGCTTCTAACGAACACCATATCTTTTTTCAAACGACCGAGGCATCCGAGTGGAATTTCTCAAACTTTGTCTCGTTTTTGATTGATACCGAAGATATGGACGCGAGGCCTGTGCTTGCCGAGAAGATTTGGATAAAGACTGTCGCAAAAATATTATGCGACAAGTCTGTCCCTCATGCCGTCCAAGAGTACATGGACGATATTCTGGTGTACTACTACGTAAGCATTGAAACAGCTCTACATCTTTACGAAGCACCTTCTCACTCTACCTCGTACTTAACAGGCTGAACATAACAACGATGTTATGAAAAGTGCGCGTAAGGCCTTGGAAGAGTTTTACTCTTTCAGGCTCACTATAGTACCAAAACTATCACTCGCCAGATACGTTTCGATGGCATCCGAGGCGCTTGCGTCCATCACAATTTCTGGAAAGCGCGCTCGTGCCCTCGCATCAGACATGTTGTCTGATGAACCGAGCCGTAAAGCTCGGAAAATCGAACATATTGATTTGACAAACGAACTGCTTGATGGTCCATCAGCAGCAAGTGGTCCTTCTAATGCTTAGGCCCATGTACTTTTCTTTGTCTAATTAGAATTGTTCAAATTTCTCTTTCTGACTGCGTAAATGTTTATTAGAAATGTGTAAACAAAAGAGCAATGCATGTATAATATTTCAACGCTATTGTTAAATGTCAAATAAGTACGCTATATTATTAAAGACTATCATATCACTTCGTTTCCGAATAATGTACCAAATATGACAAATCGCAATCTTACGAAAAAGGGATTTATTCCATTCTTTGATCATGATGCCGAAAAGATTTGGATAAAGAGTGTCAAAGCCAATCACGCAGCAATTTTGTTTTGTCTGCTGTTCGAAAGTTTACTATTGAAAACTTAGCATACATTTGCTATAACTTTATAAAACTTTACACGCTTTCTATTCAGGCTGATTGCACGTTAGATTACTGACATGCATGTTGTGCGAAGAAACACATCCTAAAGCTCATAGCAACTGAAGCAACGCAAGTTTTACATAATCCAGCGATGATAGAGAATCCAAGGCAAGTATTGCCGTATTTTACGAATGAGTATCCATTGTGCATAGCATATGATTTCATTGTATCAAATCTCCGACATAAACCATACAACCCATCTAAATTTACCGTTGTCTCTGTTTTAATGACGTTTGATTTTCGCGTTTTGCGCAACCATATTCTACATTATCAATTGCAGCAAATAGATTTATGATGTAGATTCACTATTATCTACATATCAAAGCCCAACCCTAATAGCATAGAGCGTGGCGAAGACGAGTTACATATGTGAGAATGGTAACATAGCTTTGATGTTAGAGCATATAAAAGGAACTAGTATTTCATTTTACAAACTTATATCAATAAATAATTTATGGCTTTCAATATTGTTTTACTATTGTGAATGAAATATGAACTCGACAATCAAGCCGCTCTTAACACCAGTGGCTAGATATTATAGTTCTGCCAAAGTAACGTATTAGTTGTTAATATTATTTACCTGGCTCTTTGAATTAGCTTAACTCTTGATACACGTATGGATATTTTAATTTTGCCATTGCTCCTCAACGATTTAACGAAACAGCCAAATAGTAAATTAATAAGAAATCCGCTCTCTATTGTTTTCAATTATAAGCTTACAACGTTGCCGTATTTAAACTAATTAGAGTGTCCTCAAGAATATGTTTTCACATACCTCCACCACAAACCTTTCCAATTTATCGAGATTTTTTGACATTCGCCTTTTCTAAGAAACTTTGTATTAAGTTTATATTTGGACTGCTGAAAGGCCAGCTGACGCAACAACACTTCACTTTTAAAATAAATCACGCGGTGTAATTCAATGCAGTATTGCAAATTTTGATATGCGAGTAGGACACTTTGAAATAGTTCTTCGTTTAAATTAGCCGTTGAGAAAAAAAGACTGCGCAGCCCAACCATGTGGCGTTAGCCAGCATTATGTCCTTTTAAAGTGGATGATTCTCAAATTTGATGTTCCTACAACTTGTTGAGGGAGCTGTAAAGAAACAGGATCCGGAGCTTTATATCTTGACTTTGTCGTAAAATATAATGGGAAGTTGCGCTTTGTAACGATAAAGAGATGAAGCCATATGTAGTGGAATCGAGACATGCAAGGCCTAAAAAAGTAGAGGTAAATCTCAGAAATGGCTTTATCTAATTGATAATACTTTGGTTTCGGAGGCATTAAAAAATCCGTATGGTTAGTTTTACTGTCAACACGCCGTTGTAAACACGTGTATCAGATACGACAAACATACCACTCTAAACTTTCATCCTCAAAGAGAAACGCTTAATCTTCCTACATTCCCCCGACACCGCCATTATCCAAATTTTCTCTACTCTGATGAATATGTCCGATTATTGAATTTACACCCACTTGGGGTCTCTCTGCAAGCCAATTTACCAAACGCGTGTATAATATCCTGGAAAGCATTTGTCGAATACTCCATTCGGTTATAATATTTGTAGATGGAACGGAGCAGCACAGACTCCACGAAAAATCTCCACCAGCGGTGCTCTTTGCCACAACAAATTTTTGGATAAACATATCTCACATTTCTGTCACATATTAAATAAATTGTTGGATAGGACGCGACCCGTATTAGCATACGAGTAATAATACCATACCAGCAACTCGTTAAATGATATGTACACACACATTAGTCTGGAAAGTCGGAGAAAAGGGCAAACCTGTTCTCTCAAAGCCTAGCAATTTCAGGATGCTACAATAAATAAATTGGACTAGCAAGCAAACATAATCGCGCCTGTAAACATGATGTCTAATAGTTCAATTACCAACGTTTTCAAATGGTTTGTCAAGATCAATTAGATTAGTTATAATCCAAACGCCTTTAACAGACTTCTGCCGTAAACAAGTTAAATCCCAAGTCAATTGCCAATCGCTCTCCCGTGGTAATTGACTCGACGTAGATAATACATTTTGCAATATGGCTACAAAAACACTTTGCAATTAGAAAGATTGACAAATCGGTCTATTTTATTGAACAGTAAATAAGCAATCAAATACTTTGAACAAACAAGCATACTGTTTATAACCATCAGTGCACGATAATCAGCGATAGGACTACAGTTATCTATGAAACAAACTATTGATGTGCTACAACGGTTAGAGCATTATACTTTATTTATCATAACATTATCACTATCGTCTATTTCTTTATTTTCATTGTCGCCATCTGAGTGGTTTACATTTTCCTTCTTTTCTTCGTCAACTCAACGGTCTTTTTCCGTGGGGTGTTTTCCGTAGGTAATAGTTTTTTATCGTAGAGGCAGCTAGACCGTTTCCTTTACCGGTAATTCGTCGATTTCAATAGCCATTTTGTGAAATAAAAAATTCGAGTCCAACTCAATCAAGCCTTTTGTCAAATAAGATTTTAACAGGTTTTCGATTTCTGGTGGATAGTCACGTTGACCAATTTGTTTGCTATCAAAAATGTAGATCAGTCCGAAATTTTCAAATGTCGATATTCACGTGATACTATAAAATTCTTAATTTTATTGGCTAACATATACTGTATATATGAAATTCGGTGAAACATTATCATTGGCCCCACATTCCATCGCTAACATTTAGTTCGTTAAATTCATTTACTTCAGTATCGTAATCAGCTATAACCGGAGCTATGTGATGTTTCTTTTTGGATGTATATCGTCCTTTCTTATCTCTAGATTGGTCGTTGGCTTTTCTTTTTCAAGAGGCATTTTTTTTTTACTAATTGATTTTTTACGCGATGTGATATTAATCTATAATAACGGAATTTGCTATCCAAAATCACGTGATTTTAAAGATTTTTATTGGTCAAATTCCGAATGAATGGGCGTCCGAAATTCGAAGATTAATAATAAGCGTCCGACTTTAATCCCTAATAACTTTTTATAATATAATGTAATTAAAAAAACTAAACCATAAGTCTGAAAGAGAATCGTTAGATCTATCGTTTTTACGGTTTACATTTTTAATATTGTTTAAATTGGTGGACTAGATAGGTTTTAAAGTTGCATGAATTTGTTTGATGACTATAGGTATAGTCTTGGATTTTTACGTCATTAATGCGTAATCGACATGTGCGAATTTCATCAATTATCAGGGGGGACAATAATTACATTGTGAAAAGGTCTAGAAAGTTCTTTAATAATACGGCCGTTAGTATATTAATATTAGATTACATTGCGTAGCACGTAAGCGATACTTCTCTTAGCATGGAACTATATTCAGAAATTAAACGTCTTGCTCTCGCGAGAGACGAGAAGGCAGACTTGCGTGTGTATTTTACCAAGAACCCCACTCAGGAGGAAAGGGCAGAAACTATTCTGCCGACCTGTGAAGACGACGAGGCAAAGATTCAGTATCTACGGAAACTCTTGGGACCGGCAACAGGTAATGGCTTTGTGACTCGGGCGTTAGGACATAGAGTAGTGTGTACATAGGGTAGAGTAGACATAGCAATAGGTCTTCTTTCACTTATTTCTTTGACAATAACATCTTCCAACTCTCCTCATTGTTTTTCCCACACGTACAAGTGTTGCTCAAATAATCTGCTTATCTCTTTCAGTGCCCCCCCTTAGATTCATTGATTTTAGTGAATACCTATCAGAATCTCAGATTGCCAAACAAATATATAGCAAGTTGGAGGATTATGGATCAGACTACTCGTTTTTGTCAAAACTATCAGGAGAAGAAGAGAGAGAGCTCAAAAAAATTTTTAAGAAATTACGTGGTCCCAAAAATAACTGGAATGATGAACTTGCACAGGTGCAACCATGGGTGCAGGCGTGCTATGAAAAGTTGGCAGGAATCTGGGGTCTAGTTGTCAATTGGGACAATCGATATGGTGGCATGGAAGGTGAAATTTATGGAGATCATTATCTTATGTTTAAAGAATGGTCAGCCAGCTGCAGCGTTGATAGCAGGGCCATAGATTTCACAAGGTGTTGGACGTTTGAAGATAAGCGGGGCTGGCAAGACTCTCTTACTTTGGAGGCAATTAGACAATGCCATAGATACTCTTCACGTTTCTTCCATAATGAGCATAATCAAAACCAAGACTACATATCGATTATCACTGATGCCAGGAAATACAAGCTCTTTCATGTGTTCTATGATACTGACAAAAATGACATACGTGCTGGTATAACTAAAACTATTCGCTGGAACAAGAACACACTACAGATCCTAGGGCGTGTTTTCAAGACATTTCATGAAGGTATGCTTCCTCTCCGAGCCAATGGATCGCCACAAGACTTTGGAAACAAACCCCATGCATCCTATGTGATGCCTGATTCAGAAATTGATTTACCTATTCGACTCTCAGAATTAAATAATCTTCGTATGGACTTTTATAACATGGTCTTGAAATGGTCAGTAAAAGATTTGACATCAAGTTTTCCAATTGTAAGAACAAGTTTTGGGAATGTAGAAGCAAATGTACTTTTAGGTTTAGGGCCCAATACTGCTGTCTTTGGAGCAAGCACTACAGACTATGGAAAAGTTGCAATCAAGTTCTGCCTCAATGAGTTTCGCCTGCATCGTGAAGCAGAAATTTTGAAGGAACTTGAAGGAATAAAGGATATACCAAAGTTGCTTCATGAAAATTTAGATGTTATGGTACCCTATATTGTCACAAGCATGGTCGGCAAAAAAGTCACTGAGATCAGTGCATCAATTGCCTGTAATGCCACCATTGACATTCTTGAAGTTTTGGAGAATATTCATGACAAAGGCTATGTGCACAATGATATACATCCAGGCAATATTGTGGAAGTTGACAGCAAATTTCGGTTAATTGACTTTGGTAATGCAGTTCAGCGATTTGAGAAGAGAGACCATATACCCAAACATTGGCCAAAAGGTCATGCTGTGTTTGCATCTCACAATCGGGGTGATTATCCTGGAGCTAGGGATGACTTGGAGGCACTCTGTTATTCCATTGCTTTCATGTATGATCAGAATAAGCTGTATTGGTGCATTGCTGGTCGGGACCGACGTAAAGCCCACCATAGAAAAGAAGAAAAACTCTTATTCCTCTTTGATGGTCTTCCACAGGCATTCCGGGACTTTTTTTGCTGTGTCTATGATCTTGATTTTGCTGCAACTGTGGATTATGGATCCTGGCAGAAAATGTTCAAGCATGCTGCTAATGATTTGGTTTCACCACCTAATCTACCCAAAAAACGTGCCCTCTCAATGCCACCAGGAAGCCCTGAATATAAGCGTAGTAACCTTGAACTTGAATTTCCAGTGTGTTAAGTTCACTGTTGCTTTACAACTTATGAGATGATGATTGTCATTCCACTTGCATTAATATTTGCTCAGTAGTCAGTAACTTTAATCAGTAATTATACTTATCATAGAGCACTGACATATGTAACTATGTGGTAGTGTGATAGTCTTGAGTAGTTAGCTTCGATTGTGATATGCTCATGATCATGTGGGAAGAGTTATTGGAATAGAGAAATGGATTTCTTCCAAGTGAAAACGAATAATCCTAAATATAAGATTTGTATATAAAACAAGCTTCAGAGAGTTCCATAGGCTGCTTAAATCACCAAATAAAAAAAGTGAAATGAACAAAAAGTTAATGAAAGAACATTCCATTTTATGTATCGATGTTGACTTTGTTGTGTCCATTGTTATTTAAATTTAGCATTGATCAATTAAAAGCGATTGATTTTAAGTTCGATTAACGAAATGAAACTACAGCGAATACGTTGAATCATGGATCGGTTCTATTGTCAACTTATGTAAGCTGAGCAATCAGATCACTAGGCATCGTATATATAGCGTAAATACGCTATCGATATGATTGTAGAAATGACAAAGTGACAAAAAATATACAGTATATAGGATTACCTGTATATGAAAAATTCCAATTATAACGGTTTCAACGAATACGATAAAGCAATACGTTTCCTGGAGATAGGTTGCAATTGTGGTTGTTCAAAAAAGATTCCGAGAGAGAGGTTTGCCGAATTACGTGAGGCGTTTGAAGCTCTCTCTAGATCAGAACAAGATATATTTTTAATGGCCCAACTGAAAGTGATAAATGGTGGAGAAATAACTGTCTTAAAAAGAAAACACGTACTAACAAGATGACGTTTTATTATTGAGATCGCAATACGCCTCTTTGCCAGAAAACGTATCTTAATATGTTGGGAATTGGCCGCACTCATTTCGAAAATGTCAGAAATCACCTGGCGACGAACGGTATAATACCACGTGTTCATGGTAATGTAAAAAGAATGCCGCGATGGAAAACCAAAATAACCATTGATATAACTGTTGCTACCACTGTGAAGAATTTTCTCGAAAACTATGCTGAAATTCATGGACTACCAAGTCCCAGTAGAAATGTCGACCGAATTACTCAATCGCTTATACTCTTGCCAGCCGAAACGAGTTATAAATCGGTCTATCGTGACTTTATTGCAGGCTCGAAAACGAAAGCACCTTGAAATTATTAAAATATGATGCATTCCGCAAATTATGACACCAATTAACGCTGTAAGAGCGGATTTATGTGATATGTGCCAACATTTTCGGAATGGATTACAGTATAATACTCGCAAGGATGATTGCACGTTATACTATTGACATGCATGTTGTGCGAAGAAACACATCCTAAAGCTCATAGCAACTGAAGCAAGTATATCTACGCAAGTTTCACATAACCCAGCGATGATAGAGAATCCAAGGCAAGTGTTGCCGTATTTTACGAATAAGTATCCATTGTGCGTAGCATATGATTTTATTGTATCAAATCTCCAACATAAACCATACAACCCATCTAAATTTACCGTTGTCACTTTTAATGACGTTTGATTTTCGCGTTTTGCGCAACCATATTCTACATTATTAATTTTGCAGCCAATAGATTTATGATGTAGATTCACTATTATCGTTTACAAGTATGTCGTCTTAGTCAATCGTTTTCTTTGTATATAGTCCAATTTAATAAGCCAGGTGACATATCCTAATAACATAGAGCGTGGCGAAGACGAGTTACATATGTGAGAATGGTAACATAGCTTTGATGTTAGAGCATAAAAGGAACTAGTATTTCACTTTACAAACTTATATCAATAAATGATTTATGGCTTTCAATATTGTTTTACGATTGTGAATGAAATATGAACTCGACAATCAAGCCGCTCCTAATACCAGTGGCTAGATATTATAGTTCTGTCAAAGTAACGTATTAGTTGTTAATATTATTTACCTGGCTCTTTGAATTAGCTTAACTCTTGACACACGTATGGATATTTTAATTTTGCCATTGCTCCTCAACGATTTAACGAAACAGCCAAATAGTAAATTAATAAGAAATCCGCTCTCTATTGTTTTCAATTATAAGCTTACAACGTTGCCGTATTTAAACTAATTAGAGTGTCCTCAAGAATATGTTTTCACATACCTCAAACATAAACCTTTCCAATTTATCGAGATTTTTTGACATTCGCCTTTTCTAAGAATCTTGTATTAAGTTTATATTTGGACTGCTGAAAGGCCAGCTGACGCAACAATACTTGGAGGAACGGCATCTTTAAAATAAATCACGCGGTGTAATTCAATGCAGTATTGCAAATTATGATATGCGAGTAGGACATTTTGAAATAGTTCTTCGTTTAAATTAGCCGTTGAGAAAAAAATATACCTCAATATAAGGCAAAAGTTTGTTTCGCCAAATCAGCGTCAAATTTTTGTATGTAATAAAGTAATACTATATCTATCAGATGTTTCCAGCGATTGACAAGCAACGCTGTTCGCCCTTGACGGGAATGAAAAAAAAATGATCGTTAGTGCTTATAAATATTTTTCTGATTCTACCTCCGTCAATAAACGTAATCAGAAGCTCGCGTATTGCTGTGGTATTGGACATTTCAGAAAGTACTGTTGGGAGGGTTATTCAAGACTGGAACAAATGTAATGACGGATTTTTACACCACATATAGTTTCTAAGTGGCAACTTTGGCCGGGGAATATTTTTACACGAGTCACCAAATAACGTTATACAGAGAGACCTCTATAAGTGCACCCTCCATAAGTGCACACTCCATGTCCCAGATATAATTGTATAACCTTCATAGTGCACCCACGTGACCTTTAAAAAAGGTTAGCCAATTAATCGCCGTGATTTCAATCAACAAAGATGCAATAGTGACATTAGTCGTGCTTACAAATACATTGACATAAGATATTTGCTAAAATAGTAAAAAATTTTAATCACATTTTCCAAATAGCGAAGATGACATAAACGCCACAATAATACAATCAATAATTGTTGTCTCGCGCCTCAAAATGTCCCTCAAGAGAATTACTCTATAGTTTTGATAATAAGATAATAAAGACTAGTCATTATTATGTGTAACAGTTTTCTGGTTTTCTATTCGTTGTTCTATAAGTGCACACCCTCCCTAAGTGCACGCTAACGTCAAGTCCCGAGAGCGTGCACTTATAGAGGTCTCTCTGTATTTCGCTGTCAATATCTTCGATATCGACTTGCAAATTTACAAGTAAACTCACAGGTTATTACTGGATTATGGAGAAAAACCATTAAGATAGCAAAAGATTATGTAAATTCTGACAATTCTTTTTTAGTTGATGATGAAATAGATAATGACTGTGAAATAGACAATAATTTTTTTTTAGAAAATTATGTTGAATTTGACTAATCACCTTTTAATAAAATTGATATCAAAATGGTTCCTCTTGACTGAAGAATTGATTTATCTAATCAGAATTAAAAATAAAAAAAAAAAACCACATTATTGTACCGGACTATATTGATATTTGTGCTACAATGGTTAGAGCAATAAACAGGCTTTATACTTCATTTAATAGTTTATGAGCAGAGGTTTTGACATAAATTCAATAGAGTATTTATTATTTATTTTTTTTATTCTTCGACCATAAACTGTACTGATTTCCCACATATTCTTCCACGTTGTTTTGGGCAAACGTTATAATTATCGATGGATTCTATTGGTCTCGCGCTGTGTATTCAACTTTGATTTGTGACCAAAAAGCTAGGGTTAAGGCTCCTTTTTTTTTGTGACACATGAGACTTATGATTTTAACTACATTTACATTGTTGTTATAGTAGCTGTCAATAAAGATCTTACATTGTTGTTATAAGAAAAACTGACATCAACAAAAGTCTATTGTAATGAATATTGTACAGTCCCCGGTGAGGTGACAATCGTTTTTATGGTTTTATAAAAATCCAATACAAATCTGTAGTAATATTAATTTTCTTATTTACTTAATATGTCAGGCATGGTCTTGTCTTCATATTTGTTTGATTTGGATAAACTATGAACATATAACTGTCTCTAATATGTTTGTGTTCTTAGACGCCTGATATAGTTCTAACCTGTTAATGTAAAGTATCTTTACATTTGTTATTGATGATAGTTATAGGATGTATGGATATGTATTCTTGCGTGGTCTACCTACTCCCAATTATGCAGATGTTAAATTGATTCCACTTGAGATAACAGACGAGACACATGATTTATATTATGCCGAGGTAAACCATTTACTTATGC